CCCCCCCATTTTTTAAAATCAACAAATTATAACCTTAACGAAACAACAAAAACAAAACAGTGTAACTCACGTGACGTTTCAAAGAGGTAGACTTGCATCCCATAGAGGGAGAGGGAGTTCCGGAAGGAGTAGGTGATGCCGGTCTTTTTCTTGCTGAAGATCTTGGTCACCTGAGAAAAGGGGAAATAAGAGGCCTTTAGGTTTAACGTTATTCTAAGGCAGCGAGACGGAGAGAACTAGATAGGGGAAGGTTAGTTTTGGGTAATTAGTTTCAGTAAGAGTTTTACGACACTTGCAACACAATAAGGTCATATATGTGCCGAAGATTAGAGGTGTTACAAGAGAGTAACGAACACAAAAAAGAAAGAGGGGAGACAAAGACGATAGATGTTTGATCGAAAAGAAGGAGCAAACCACACCAGAGCTCCCGCCAACCACCCACTTTGTTTGGGTAAAGAGAAGCCCATCAACACATAAATGATAATTCAGTGCTGGGGGAAAAGTAAGACAGACACACAGAAACAACACAGGGAAAGTTAAGAGGTAGGACCAACCATTGGCGCCCTCCAACCACCCGCGAGAGGGGAAGGGAGAAAGAGAAGGAGAGGAAGGGCGAGAAAAAGAGGGAAAGAGAGAGAGAGGGCAACAACTTCTCAACGACCGTCCGCCTGAAGTCGGGTAGAATTCGGACAATTTCAGGAATCCTGATTTCGGTATTTATCCGCAAATTCAGCACCTCTGATAGTAATAACCCCCCCTCCATTTCCCACTCCCCCATAACCCCATCGCCTTGCCCTCCTCCAACAAGAATGACATTATCCAGACACTCAAAAACTTGTCACTAATCTCAGCTCATAGGGGCCGCTGACCTCACGACCAAATCCCTCTTCCCTCTCCTCCTCTGTGGCATCAGAACCAAGCGCCAAGCTTAATAACCCACGTAAAGAAGATATCATATATTATCTAGGTACTAGAATGATTCCCACTGCACACGGAACATCAGATCTGGCGGCAACATTGCCGACACTGTTTCGAAACTGTTACACATATCACGACTCTCTGAAATGGACTTCTCCCCCAGCATTGTTTGTTTGAGTAAAGAGATGCACATCGCCACTCTAAATGACCATTTAGGGCCGTGAAAACGTTCAACAAACAGACAGAAACGACAGGGGGAAAGACGAGAAGTAGGACCAACCAGTGACGGTCTCTAACCACCCGCGACAGCAATGCTGAGTACGTTTTCTAAAGCATCCTTATTAGAGAAGTGGATCATACTGTGATGTACAATCTTTGCTTTGTTTTTGTTTTTGTAGGAGTTTTACGGCGCGCGCAACTGCATGAGGTCATATGAGGCATTCACAACAGTCCACTGCACGGCTGGCTCGGGTCAACAATCAGATTGTTTTGCGTTAGGTATTTGCCGACATGACTAAAAAAAAACCCAATCCTTATTTAACCGGGTTTGATATAAGATGTGACGGGTTTGAAGAGGTGACACAATTATCATACACTTTCAAGATTTCGCGTCTATGGTCATGAGCACTATAGATAAGACCTAATAATTGGCTATAAGTAAGCAGATATACCTAAAGCAATACCCTATTTCTTAAATTAAATATAATATCTTTCTTATGGAACGTGTTTTACTACGCCCCAAATCGACATAAGCAATACCTAAAGCAGACGAAAATGGAATCTTGCCTCGACAGAGCGCTTAGCAAAAACAACATGGGCGGAGAAGCACTTTGAATTTCGCGTTTTTGCGTAGAAATCTCCAGCGTTGCCTTCACCATCGTGAGGCAGTGTGCGCTGTGATGACGTAAAAGACTGACCCCATCCTCGAGATTTCTGCTCAGCAGGATTCTCAGGGAGCACTGACCTCGGTGATAAGGAGGCTGATGAGTTGTGTCTGTGCGCACCTCTGCCCCCCTCTCGCGACCTCTCCGCCCTTGCTCGTACGCACGAGCTCATGTGCTTATATTATGTGTGTGAGTGTGAGTGTGCGAGGTAGAAACGCACACAAACACAAATACAAACACACATGCAGATAGATAGATAGATAGATAGATAGATAGATAGATAGATAGATAGATAGATAGATAGATAGATAGATAGATAGATAGATAGATAGA